ACCTCTCCCTAAATTTTAAATTGCCTTTGACAAAAGGCACTGTGAGCAAAATTAAAAGTGAAAGGGCAGCTTGGGATCTAAGTAACAGCTGGAGACCCCCTGCACCTTACAGACTCCCCCTGCTGCAGATCAACTCCCTGCACACTACAGACTCCCCCTGCTGCAGATCAACTCCCTGCACACTACAGACTCCTTCCTGCTGCAGATCAGACCTCTGGACAGGTCCAGCCCTGGCTTTGTGGCTGTCATGACTACTGAAAATGTTGTAACTGTTGGCAGCAAGAACATGACCTCTTGCTGTCGCAAAATGAGGAAATGAAAGGGAAAAAAGAGGAAATGGGATGAAAAGAAAGATGGATGATAACAACAGAGAGGGAGCAAGAAGTATTGAGAAAGATGAAAAAAATGAGCTGTTTATCTCTCCTCTGTATCAGGGCCCTCTCCTTTGTGCTACCCTAGTGATGCACTGTATTAGTCCATTCTTACCTTGTCACAAAGAACTACCTGAGACTGGGTAATTTTTAAAGAAAAGATGTTTAATCAGCTCATGGTTCTGTGTGCTGTACAGGCTTCTGCTTCTAGGGAGGCCTACAATCATGAAACTTACAATCATGGCAGAAGGTGAAGGGGAAACAGGTGATGGAGATGCTACACACTTTCAAACAACCAGATTTTCTGAGAACTCTATCATGAGACCGCATTGGGTGAATGGTGCTAAACCATTAGAGACTACCCCTATGATCCAATCACCTCCCACCAAGCCCCACTTCCAACACTTGGGATCACAGTTCAACATGAGATTTGGGAAGGGACACAGAACCTAACCATATTATTCCAGCCCTCCCAAATATATCCTCTCACATTGTAAAATACACTAATCCCTTCTCAACAGTCCCTCAAAGTCTTAACTCATTCCAGAATTAACTCAAAAGTCCAAGTCCAAAGTCTCATCTGAGACAAGGCAAGTCCCTTCCACCTATGAGCTTGTAAAATCAAAAACAAGTTAGTTACTTTCAAGATACAATAGGGGTACAGGCATTGGGTAAATACTGCCTTTCCAGAAAGGAGAAATCAGCCAAAACAAAGGGGCTACAGGCCCCATGCAAGTCCAAAACCCAGCAGGGCAGTCAGTAGTAAATCTTGTCCAAAATAATCTTCTTTGACTCTGTGTCTCACATCCAGGCCACACTGATGTAAGGGGTGGGCTCCCAAGGTCTTGGGCAGCTCTGTTTCTGTGGCTTTGTAGGGTACATCCCCTGTGGCTGCTTTCATGAACTGATATTGAGTACCTGTGGCTTTTCCAGGTGCATGGTGCAAGCCGTCAGTAGATTTATCATTCCGGGGTCTGAAAGATGATGACCTTCTTCTCACAACTCTACTAGGCAGTGTCCCATTGGGGACTCTGGGTGGGGCTCCAACCCCACATTTCCCCTTTGTACTGCACTATTAGATAGTCTCCATGAAGGCTCTGCCCCTGTAGGAGACTTCTGCTTGGACATCCAGGCCTTTCCATACATCCTCTGAAATCTAGCTGGAGGTTCCCAAGCCTCAACTTTTGCCCTCTGTGTACTTGCAGGTTTAACACCACATGGAAGCCACCAAGGCGTGTGGCTTGCACCCTCTAGAGCAGCAGTCTGAGACATATCTGGGGCCCTTTTAGCCATAGCTGCAGCTGGAGCAGGTGGGATGCAGGGCATCATGTCCCAAGGCTGTACAAAGCAGCAGGGCCCTGGGCCTGGCCCCATGAAACCATTTTTCCCTTGTAGGCCTCCAGGCCTGTGATAGGAGGGGCTTCCCCAAAGGTCTCTGAAATGTCTCATAGGCATTTTCCTTATTGTCTTGGCTATTAACATCTGGCTCCTCTTGTGCAAATTTGTTACAGGCTTGAATTTCTCCCCCCAAAATGGGTTTTTCTTTTCTACCACATGGGCAGGCTACAAATTTTCTAATGTTTTATGCTCTGTCTCCCTTTTTCCAGTTTCAGTCATAAATTCCAGTTTCAGGTCATTTCTTTGTTTATGCAGATGAGTTCAGCTTTTGGAAGCAGCCAGACCACATCTTGAACACTTGATGCTTAGAAATTTCTTCTGCCAGATACCCTAAATCATTTCTCTGAAGGTCAAAGTTCAACAGATCCCCAGAGCAGGAGCATAATTCCACCAGTCTCTTTGCTAAAGCATAGCAAGAGTGACCTTTACTCCAGTTCCCAACAAGTTCCTCATCTCCATCTGAGACCACATCAGCCTGGCCATATCTGTCCGTATCACTATGAGCATCTTGGTCAAAACCATTAAACAAGTCTTTAGGAAGTTCCAAACATTTCCTCATCTTCCTGTCTTCTTCTGAGCTTTCCAAACTGTTCCAAGCTCTGCCCATTATCCAGTTTCAAAGCTGCTTCCACATTTTCAGGTATCTTTATAGCAATGCCTCACTTCTCTGGTACCAATTTTCTGCATTTAGTCTGTTCTTGCATTGCTATAAAGAACTACCTGAGACTGGGTAACTTATAAAGAAAAGATGTTTAATCAGCTCACAGTTCTGTGGGCTGTACAGGCTTCTGCTTTTGGGGAGGTCTCTGGAAACTTACAATCATAGCAGAAGGTAAAGGAGAAACAGGCACACATTCACATGGCCAGCAGGAGAAGGGTGGGGAAGTGCTACATGCTTTCAAACAACCAGATCTCCTGAGAACTCTATCATGAGGCAGCACTATGGGGATGGTGCTAAACCACTAGAAATCACCCTCATGATTCAATCGTCTCCACTAAGCCCCACGTCCAACACTTAAGATTACAATTTAACATTAGATTTGGGTGGGGACACAGAGCAAAACCATATCATGCACTAACTCATTTAAGCTGTTGTCATCTTAGTCATGGACTCACTGTAGAAAGGGAGTGGTAGGAAGAAACATTAAGTAGTGGTCATAATGGTGGCTTAGAATTCAAACCCACTCCATGTGATCCCACACCCATGCTTGAGCATATTAAATCCATAATTATCCAACAGTCTTCAAAATCGATTTTTTTAGGCCTAACCATTTCCTTCCGATTCTTATCATTTCCTTTTCCCCTAAAGAAAATTCCCTTTATTCTTACCACCCACTAGAATGGAGACTTGAAATTAGGATCTTTTAGCTTGCCAAATGATAAACAGCTCTCTCAAATTAAGCCACATCTCATCCAGAGAGAAGGCAATAAAAATAGTGATTTATGTGGTCAAGAGTATAGTGAGACGTTTTTATAGCATCACAGATGGCTTTCCAAATTGCAGAGCAGCTTTATTTCTTTCTGCATATCTCAATTTCTCAGTCCACAATTTGAAAATAAAAAAGCTGCCCTCTTCCTGCTTCTCGAGTGAGTTGGTTAGATCGTGAAAGTCTATAAATAAAAGCACTTTGAATCTTAGAGAGAAAAGCCAAATGACAAAATAATCCATTTTTCATCCATATGATGAAATTACATAAGCTCCCCATATAATGGAGATCTTATATAATGAGAAGACTAGGCATATTGCAATGTTTGTGGGGAAATAATCTGGCCCAGAGAACACCTGACTCCTTGGAGTGTCAAGCTGGGAAGTGAACTCAAGTATATACAGAGTACCATATATCTTTGATAGCTCTAAATTAACTACTGGAATCACCTATGGGGTGGCATGATAAGATAACTGAGATTTACATTTATAGTTTAGTCCTCTTACTGGTTTTAAAAAACAAAACTGCTTGAGTTTGGTTTTCCTCATGGCAGCTTCCCCCTCAGCCCAGGCTCTCCACGTACTTTCTGTTCCAACTTTGCCCCTAGGTGGTCATGAGATCCATTCTCAGCACCTCTGGGCCCATTCCCTTCTACCCAAACCAGGAGTGCTGGGCGCTGAGATTTGACCACCCAGATCAGAAGCAGCACCATGCAGTGTTAAGAACACAGGCCCTGGAGCAAGTCTGCTGTGTGTGAATCCCAACTCGCCTCTCTGACCAGGCATATCTCCTCATTCATGACATGGGCATGGCACTAATATACCTACTCATAGGGTTCTGGGGACAGTTAAATGAGACAGGGTCCATAAAGCACTTATCTCACTGTCTGGTACCATAAATGGTGACTACTTTTTATTGGCAATTGTAAAAAACATGGTGAATGTGGGCAGGGTAAAGTAGTTGGATTGGATTGGTGATTCTTCTTCAGGTGGCATTCAATGTCTTTTTTTGTGTGTGTTTATTTTTCTTATAGTAAATTTCTTCTTTTAAATTGTGATCAAATAGAATGATTTCTATCATTTTACAATTTGCATGGCTGAATGAATATACCTTTGATAGTTTTTGTCATGTTTCTAATTTTTCTCTTCTGGGATTTCAGGGTATTACATTGGAAAATAGGTATTAAATTGATATGGGACAGAGGCCATGACATATACCCTACAAAATCTGGATCTACACTTATATTATACTTACTTGCCCATATCTTTGAACTTGGGGCAAATCATAGGGTCCTACATTCCACAGTTCCCAGAAAAAGAACATAGTAATTGAGTAAGTATTAAAAATTGGTGTGGTGGCTCATGCCTGTAATCCCAGGAATTTGGGAGGCCAAGGCGGGGGGATTACTTGAGGCCAGGAGCTCAAGACCAGCCTGGCCAACATGGTGAAACCCAATCCTTACTAAAAATTTAAAAAAATTAACCGGGGATGGTGGTATGTGCCTATAATCCCAGCTTTTCAGGAGGCTGAGGCAGGAGAATTGCTTGTACCCGGGAAGCAGAGATTTCAGTGAGCCGAGATCACACCACTGCACTCCAGCCTGGGGAACAGAGTGAGACTCTGTCTCATAAAAAAAAAAAAAATTGTTTATGGGTAAGTATCGAGCTAAATGCATTATTTCATTCAATTATTATTTCGTTTAATCCTCAAGCTTATGAAGCAAGTACTATCATTAGCCCTATTTTACAGATGTCGAAACTAAGCCTTCAAGAAGTAAATAATTCCCATAAGTCTAAGTAAGTAAGTAAGTAATTGCCATAAGTCTAATTGTCATAAGTCTTAATTGCCATCTAAGAAATAATGGAGTGAAAAATTGAACCGAAAGCATCTAGATCCGGAGCCCATGTTTTAGGAACTTGCTGTGGCTTTGATGCATCAGAATGTGGCAGCTGCAGGCCTGCGTAGACTAGTCTTGGACTCTTAGCTGCTCTGCCATCCCACAGCAGCTGATAGGTTCATATGAAGCCACTGGTAACTGGTGCCAAGTTGCCAATAAGAAAATCAAACTCTTTGATCTGTTTATCAATTGGAATGTGCATGTCCAGAATCAATCTAGATTTTTTTTTTAAAAAAGCATAAAGCATTCAATGCCTAATTTTTAATCAAATTCCACATGCAAAGAAAATGCCCATGCATTTCTTTAAATGGAAATATAAGTTAGTGAATTTGTTTCTTCTTCTTGATAAAATGGTTAGAATTTGCTTAGAAATTCCTTTTATCATGAAGTGAAAATTAATAGCTTTAACCTTCTCGTTTGTCTCCTACTGCTTCTTCTCTTGTTCTTTATTCTCATCCACCCCCTTCTGTCTTTGCCTCTTCTTTCCCTCTATTCCTTCATAACAATTTAAACCCCTTCTTTAAACATCAAATGTTTTTCCCTTGGATAGAGATGACTTCTCTCCCCTTCATGACTAGCTGGGCCTGGTACCTTTGGGTTAGCAATTTTGCCAGAGATGTTCGAGAAAACGGGGGTGGCATTTCCTGTTAAAAATCCAGCCTGCAAAGCATTTACCATCTCATGCTGGTTTCATAAGGCCCTGCCATCCCTCCAGAATAGAGGCCCACAACACTCACTAGGTACCAGGCATGGCAAACTTGCCTGCCCAAGGTCTCTAGTAGGTGGTAGATTCATCCAGGTCTGCCTGAATTTAGAGCCTATGCTTTCAATCATTATACCTTATTGTCTTTCTAGGTGAGGTCAGGCTCTCTATGCTTCTGTGAGATAACTTTCCCTAGGAGAGTAGATAGTTACTGTAGAGACACTAGGTGCCACCTGCTATAGCTCTCAGGAGTGGCACCAGACTATGCCTGGGCCTGTTTTTAGGACAAGGAAGAATGAGTGTGACAATGAAAGGTTATATTTGTAAAGGCTGGAAGAGCAGCAATCCCCAAGAGTTAGAGAAAAGAATGTAGACAAGCATATGGTATCCAATCATAGTATGTTAGAGCTGAGTTGGGCTTTAAAGATGATCTCCTCTAACCCCTTTATTTGCAGTTGAAGTTGAGGATCTGAGACATTAAGTTTATTGTCTGGGGACACACAGCCAGTTTGTTAGATGCAGAGCCAAGAATGATTCTTTTTTCATTCAGAATAAACTGCTTTTTTGAAATCCACTTTCACTCTACCTGGGGTTCATTCCTTTTTAAGAAGTCTCAAAGATTAGAAAATTGAATCTTTTTGAGAAATTTAATTCATAGTGTACAATTATGCTAAAAGTAATTATAATAGCAATGGCAGCAGATCTCCCAAATCCATGAGTTCCAAAATGTTTCCGCCTTTTGCTAAGCTAAGATATAGAATTTCAAAACCATATTTATACCACATAAAATTGCCAAAGAGCTGGGCAATTTCCTATAATAACTCAGTTGTGCACTGATTGCCAAGTTGGAAAACTCAGGGTTTCCTGGCAACACCCACTTGGGCTCTAGGGAATGCAAACTTCTCAGCAAACAACCTCTCCTGATACCACCTCCATCAGCAGACATGACCCAAGTTGCACCAGCTCTTTCTGATGTTCTTGTCTCTGTTGCTTATGTTTCTCAAGAACCTGTAATCTTGCCTTAATCCTGTCCCAGCTTAATACCAGCTAGATGATAAACTCCTGGAACAAAAGGTCCACATTTCTCTCATGCTACGAGTTTGGGACTAGAATTCAGATGAACTCATTTCTGATACTGGTTCAAAAGCTAATCAGCCCTTTAAATTTCCGGGTCCTTAGTTTCCTCATAGATAAAATATAGACAATAACTCCTGCCTGCTCATCTTTCAGGGCTGTTCTGAAGATTTTCAACATCTGAAATTCACAGAATCATGGAGATGAACTAAACCATCATGGAGACAAACTAAACCAGATAAGTCTAGCCCCTCATGTTAGAGTTAAGAAAACAGAAACCCAGGGTTTGGGGACTCCCTGGAAGTCATCAAGGTACTGGTTAATGACAAAATCAGGACCAAGCTTCTGATGCTCCCACATGTTCCCTCACTCGTCAGTGCTGCCTGCGATGAGAAAGATCAAAGCATGCATACAATTATAAATCATGCCGCAGAGGCAACACGTAATTATTTAGGTACTAATTAATAGACTCGTGTACCAAGTCAGCACTAATCAAATTTTTCATGCCTTGACAGGGTTGTAGCTTGTCAGGAATTTCTGAAGATGAAAAAACTATTTGTCTCAAGACAAATCCTCCTTTCAGTAAATATAAGGAAAACAGAAAGTGTAACCAGGGGAATTTAAGCTCAGCCTCCTCCAGCAACCATCTCCTTTTGCTTTTTTTGTTTGTTTGTTAATATTATTGAGATGTAATTTACGTACCATAAACTTCACACCATGTTAAGGTGTGCAGTGGTATATTCACGAGGTTGTGTAACCATCACTACCCTCTAATTCCAGAACATTCTCATCATCCTGTTGCCTTTTGAACGTCAGTATTGTCAGCTTGAGTACAGTTCCACTCACCTGTGCCTCTCAGTTTGGGTATATTCTGTGCTGTTCCTCGTGGAGTGTTCATCTTGACCCAGATGATTAGCTGTCCCAAGTTCACTGTGTATTTGAAGAACTCTGTGTCTGCTAAAGGTCTGATTCCCTACTGTGGGCCAGCAGTAGGAATGAGATGGTCACTAAGCCTCAAAATAAGCCTTAGCAATGAGAACCTGAAAAGCAAAACTCAGCCACCAAGCTTACTTTGCAGGGTAAAAAGAGGAGAATATTTCCTAAGCCAAGAGTGGGTAGAACTGGAAGTGGGACGTGTGGCTGGTTTAAGGACTGTGGAGGGTTCTCCAAAGTGTCATTCTCTCCTGCCTTAGAGCTCATATGCATGCTGGATCATCCCCCCACCATCACATTCCCCATTTTTGGTTCATCTAAGCCCGCTGGGATGCCGGAGCACCCACTGCAAGAGGTGCCCAAACTTCCCTTATCACAGTCCATCTCACCTGTGCACACGGTGATTACCTGCTGACTTGTCTGTGTTCCTGAATAGACTACAGGCTTCAAAGGGGAAGGAGCGCTGCCTTTTGGTTACTTATTCACCCTGCTTCTCAGCATCCTCTGGCACCATCTCAGTAAAGATTTCTTGAACAAGTTATTAACCTGGCCACAAGCCCAAATTTCTCTTTCTATATCCCTTCAATGCTCAAATTAAAGTTTGAGTGTGAGAATGTACCCAAGCCTCACACAGTTATGTATGGTGGATACACAAATTAATAACAACCCTGGGTCAAAGCTGCTTTTCCTGTAGCTTTCACTACATAGTCCTCATTCTGATCCAAAGACCAAGAGAGAATACATCTTTTCCCTCTTCTCTCTGGTACCCCTTTAGGTATGTGACATGAGCTGTCATGTCCTCTGTATCTTTCATCCTCTGAGTTAACCAACTATAATTTCTTCAAAAATTATGCATAATATATGGATTACTTATCAGTAATTCATTCAACAAATATCTTAAGTCATGGTCTATGTATAAAGTGCTGCGCCAGGGTGAGTGAAAGCATGATAGAGACGCTGCCCTAAATAAGTCTACAGTCCATCCCGGCTGTGCTCTTCCCACTCTCTGGGGTTTCTTGAATTGGTCAATGTCCCTTTCCAGATGTGGTTTCCAGAAGTGAACAATATATTCCCAAGTAGTCAGACCAACACGTAGTTCAGAACTATAACTCACGATCTAGATCCTTTGGAACATTTGGTTAACAATTTTGTAAGATGCTTTTTCAACATTTTTATAAGATGCTTGTTCTTTATGCTTACCAAATATGTGGTGTATTTCTGGTGATCAGAATTTCAAGTCAAACACATCCTTATCTTGAGTCCCTCTCCTGCTCCAAAAATCTCTTAGAAGTAAGCGGATTGCAGTCTTCTTCATATCAAACTGAACTCATAAGAGTGGACAAATTCTTTTAAAAAACAACCCAGCATATTTCACATTGCCACTAATGATTCTTTATGATGTTTCTGAAAATAATTGGAAGGGAAACATGGACATTGGGCTTGTGAATGAAGCTGTTTCTAATTAGGAGGGCTGTTTGTCTTCAAAGCAGAGTGAGCACTGGGGTACTCTTGGATGTGCTCTTTCTTGATGATGCTTGCTCAGGGCCTAGTGCCTCCAGCCGTTACCTATTTGAAGCCTGGGGTCCATGGGCAGAGGGTAGGTCACCTCCTTTTAGCTTCTGACCTGAATGACTTTGGTCCTTAAATTCCTTTAGGCATTGGGCTTTTAACTTTGATGATTGCTTTGAAGCAGAAAAATGTGATTTTTTTTTTTTTTTTTTTGGTTATACTGTTTCCTGGGTACTTTCCGTCTGTGAAGAAGACAGGATCACCAGGAGCCAGAAGGTCAGCAGAAGAGAAAGTGCCTGTCATCTGTGACAACTGGGATAAATGTAGGAGAACTCTGCCAGACTTGGGTGGTCAGGAGATCCAGGAACAATTCCAGAAAACGGGGAGTACGTGAGAGTCGTTCTGTTTTCTACTTTTTTTTTTTTTTTTTTGAGACAGAGTTTTGTTCTTGTTTCCCAGGCTGGAGTGCAGTGGCACGATCTCAGCTCACTGCAACCTCCACCTCTCAGGTTCAAGCAATTCTCCTGCCTCAGCCTCCCGAGTAGCTGGGCTTATAGGTGCCCACCTAATTTTTGTATTTTTAGTAGAGACAGGGTTTCACCATGTTGTCCGGGCTGGTCTCAAACTCCTGACCTCAGGTGATCCACTCGCCTCAGCCTCCCAAAGCACTGTGATCACAAGCGTGAGCCACCGCCTTGTTTTTTACTCCTAATATAATTTGTAGAAGGTGTTGTGCTGAGGATATACTGGTCATTTCCCTGTTTAAAATTTTCTAATAATTTTTCTTTACCTAACATCTCTTTATTTAGCCAATATTTATTAGACACCAAATATGTGCCAGGGACTTAAACTTTAGAAAGAACTATTCTAATAAGTGTCTTAAAAAGAACCTGTAGTTTCCTGTTCTCTACATGGTTCTCAACGCACATACTGTGCCTCATTAACATTGCCCTGGAAACAGTGACCCCTCTTTGAGGCAGTTGAGGTCAGGAACTTTCCTAGGAATTCACAGGCATGGCGGACAGGCCTTGAGGAGGCTATTACCATGAACCCCTGACTGTATTTCTAGAAATTCCACATGGAACTCTATGGTACCTATAGCTATGTCTGAAAATCAGTGTTCTTAGTGAAAATAGAGTGAATTGATTTTAAAAAATGGTTACACAGATATTTTTTCATTCTTTATTATATATTCTCACCAAAGAAATCCAAAAACAAAAAGAGAGAGGCACAAACTAAGACATTAAAATCATCTATAATTCCATCACACAGGGAACACTACAAGTAAAATGTTGCTGCATATATCTCTTTATTTATCTAGATCTGTTTTTGTTTAACACAGTTTTATAACCTACTTTTTATATAACAATATATTATGAATGTTTTTCCAGGCCATTGCCTTTTCTTCTACAGTATAATTGTGATGGCTGCAAAGTATTCCATTGTATGTATGTACCATCATTGATTTCACTAATTACATGTTATTAGACTTTCAGGTTGTTACCATTTTTTTTTTTCACAAAAATATACCCGGATAAAAATTATTGTTTCTAACTCTTTATTCCCATTCATTATATCCTTATAATAATTCTCAGAAGTAGACTTTCTGGGTAAAAAGATAAGCCAAAATTTAAACCTTTTGGAATGTACATAGAGAAGCCTCAGGCTTTGAGTAGAAACATCTCTGTCCCTAGCTCTAACTCAACCGTGTGGCCTTGAGTCTAACTACTCCATTTGTTAAATAAGAGTCTGATCATACACCCCACTGCATTTCAACCGCTGATTCTGACAAGGTACCGCGGACTGTCTGCCCGGCAGCCATTCTTCACTTCATTCCAATAAACCCTGATTTTTTTTTTCAAATATTCACCTCTTCCCCATTGCAGTATTTGTACCGCCAGGGTAGGCCTACATTGTCTAAGTATAATCTCATCCCCCTGCCAGTGAGAGGTTCAGGAATAGGCATATGGACCAATTAGGTTTAATAAGATTTATGGGGAAGTTTGCTGGGGCGTCTGGAAAATTCTCCACATTTAAGAGAGAGCCATAGGAGAAGAGAGTCTCTCTCTCTGGACGTCGTCAAGCTTGGCTCTATTATTGCAACGGCCCTGTTATCCCCATCCTGAGAAACTGAACACAGACGAAGCAGAGCTGAGAATCCTAAGAAAATAGGATTGGAACTGCTGGATTAGGCAAACTTCAAGCTTGCCCTGCCTCGAAATTTCCAGTTATGAGACCCAATTCTGATGGTGTACACCCTTGGAATCAGTTAACTTTAATTTATAACCCCACTTCTGAGTATGATCTATTTAATTTTCTTAATTATAGTAAATTTTTTTTCTTCCAACTTCTTGTATCATTCTCTTTCCCAATTTTGAAAAAAAAAAAAAAGATGCCTCAAGGGACTATTTGAATTAAAAGGATAGGACTTATGGCAACAATTCAGAAATGACTCATTTAAATTTGCAGAACTAAGAGAGTACAACCCAGGCCTTCCAATTTGGTCATAGAATCAGGAGATTTTTCAAGTTGGAAGGAACCTTTATGCTCAATAAGTCCTAATCCCACTTTATAGATGAGGAAACTGAGTTTCGGAAAGATATGATGAAAGCCCCTGACAGCTGGGTACTCCCCAGGCAGCACCTGCATGAGACTTACCTGGTACCCAGTTTGACTCCTCACATATTTCAGTCGGGGTTGGGGGGATTTAAGCCAAAATATATCACAATTGGTTCTTTGAACGCTTTGTTTCCTGGTAAATCAAATCTCCCCATTTGTAGCAAGAACTCAAAGAGCAATGGTCCTGTCACCACATTGGAAGTCCAGTCTTCTTTTAGACTTCCCTAGTGATTTCTTTCTAGAAGTCCCTGCAGAAAGGGAGGACTCACAAATAATCCAGACTTCTCTCTGTGGTGCCTTTGCTCTTGGTCTACACCCCCTGCTACCTTCTGCTACGTCAGTTATTATTTCTTCTTACTTCTAGCTCACACTCCAGGCTGCTGTCAAACTCCCCCCAGCTTGGTCTCCGCTCAGCCTGTGAGTCATTGAACAGGTTCTTTTTGGCTGTCCCTAGATTGCCACCTACTCATGTTCTTCTCCCTCTCTAGCCTGAAGAAAACTCTTGTTCCCCCACAGCTGATTCTCCCAGGAGAGCTAGGCCTCTGGTGGGCAATTCGCTGCTCTCTTCCCCAGCAAGCTTCTCCCTGGAGCACATGTGCACTGGGGGGAATGGGTTTGTCCAGGCTAGTTCCAACCCAACATCACGCTGTCTGTGGGACCTCGTCTCTTTCCAGCATCCAGTCCTGACTCCCAGTCCCCTCTGATCAGCTGCTGCTTCACATATGATGTTTCTCAGAAACTTCACTTCCAAATTATGGGGTGGGATTTGAGCTGGAATTCTTCATCTATGATGAACTTTTAAAATGGTATTCAAAGCTTTGTGCAAAATAGCATTTTATGGTATGTAAACCTCTAATTTTTATCAGACTGTCAAAGGGGTCTGCTAGAGACCACGGGTCTCTAAAGCTCTTTAAGTTATAATGTTCTGTGGCCCCGTGATTGCATAATATGATTTTGTGGCAAATTTGCCAAAAGCAGA